AGAGAGAGAGAGAGAGAGAGAGAGAGAGAGAGAGAGAGAGAGAGAGAAATTAGTCCACAGGCTCTTTTTCTTGCAGCCTCAAGGATAACTGTGAAGATGAAGTCAGGAATAAGAGAGGAGTAGCTTTGGTCAGTGCATCCTTAGGGCTGTGCAAGATCCTTACTCTCCAAAGATGGACTCCCTCCCCTTGTGACTCTACCATTTACACAGTCTCTACACACATTTCTTCTCCTTGCTGCCATGTGTCTGTTCTAGATTCCCTTGGATTTCTGGGGGAGCACCAATAGCTGCAGTCTTAAGCTAAATTGTATAGAGCTACTCTTGGCCATGGACTGCCTGCTCTGGACTCAGCTCAACCAACATCCAGTGAGTCAAGGCCCTTGCAAATTTCTCTGTTGACCTGATCATGGGTGTTTACAGAGACTTTAAAGGCCTGGAAAAATCTTTCACTTTCTCTCAAACATGAAATGTTTAAAAATGTTTGATGAAGGAAGAACCATATAGCACAGTTTTGAAAAGGGTGAAACCTACAGTATGGGAGAGAAGCAGACTCTGTGGGGAGTTAGGATGTTCCCCAGCAATGGTGCTACCCTGCCTGTCTCCTAGGCTTGCTTCCCTCCCTTGAGAGATCACAAGAGCCCGGCTGGTCTTTTCCTCACATGGCCAAGGGTTGTTGTGAGCCACTTTGAGTCTAAAGATCTTGAGAGAACCTTCCATAAGATCTTGGATTGTGGATAAAAAGCTGAGAACAAAGAATGTGTCTCGTAATCAGAATGGGAAGAAATTTATTTAGTATTATCAGTTCAATAACAATTACTTTGTTTTCTAGTAATATGACTTAAGCAGAGAACTGAAAAGCCCAACTAAAAATGCCTTTTTCTTTCATGTATTTATGTGTAATGAGTGCATGTGTGTATTTTTGTGTGTGCATGTATGTGTTTGTATGCATGTGTGTATGTGTGTATGCATGTGCATGTGTATATGTTTGTGTGTGTGTGTTGGCCAGAGGTGTTTTTCTTTATCACTTTCTACCCCATGTTTTGAGACAGGGTTATTCAGTAAACCTGGAGCTCACTGATTCTGGTAGGTGGGCTGGCCAATGACCTTGGGGATCCAACACTCACCCAGGGTTACAGGCATCAACACCACAACCCAGTTTTTACTTGGGTGCTAGGACTAGAACTCAAGTCTTTAAGCTCACACAGGCTGAACCTTAGCCCATGTTCTTTATTTCCTGTCATATGTTTAACATAATGTCAGATGAATACTTTAAATAGAATTTTTTGGGGGGTTGGGGGTTATTTTCCAGGACAAGCCTCTGGAATTTATGTCAGATTTTCTGCTGAAGAAATCTAGCAAAAAGAACAAGGATTTTGAAGGAAATTATGTTCTGACAGAATGTGACCTGAAAGAAACATGGATTCCACTCACGAAGGTAAAAGTCGCTGTTGTAGTTTTTGCCATGGCAGCTTCACTGTAGAAGGGGGCTTATGTGGTGGAGAGACTCTCCAGAATGATGATGGTTTTCCTGGAAAGCTTCTACTGTCAATTGTTTTAGAGATATCATTGTCATGGACTGCTATTAAGTAGAGTATTTCATCTGAAATAAGTAAAGTACTTAATCTGAGTGGCAGTTAAGGCACTTCAGAACACAGGCCCCTCACTGATTGAGCTGTACTTGATGTAGGAGAAATTTGCATTCACTACTTAACTCAGCTGAGTTCTCCCTGAGGTAACTTGAGAGAAGAAAATTATTTGCAGAGTAAGATCCTTTGTGTTGTATATGAAACTAAGAATTCTTCTTTCAGAGGAGCCTGGAGGCACACACCTTTAATCCCAGCTTTTGGGGGGCAGAAGCATGTGGAGCTTTGAGAGTTCCAGGCCAGTCTGGCCTATGTATCAAGTTCCAGGCTAGCCATAAGACTGTCTCAATAAATCAACCAACCAAAAGACAGTTCTTTTTTTCTTTCCTCTTCCTCCTCCCCCCCTCTCCCTCTTCTTCCTCTCCTTCCTTTTCTCCTTTTCTTCTTCCTGCTCTTCCTCCTCCTCTCTTTCTCCTCCTCCTTTTCCTCTTCTTCCTCTTCCTCTTCTTCCTCCTCCTCTTCTTCCTCCTTCTCTCCCTCCTCCTCTCCCTTCTCCTCCTCCTCCTTTTTCTCCTCCTCCTCACCAGTGCTCTATTCAGAATCCCCACACTCTTGCTTACATGAAATAATCAGAATTTATTGTCATTTGTAAAACTGATTTATTACATGGAAAATACCATTTAAGAACCATTTATGCTCAGGCTAAAGATATTCAAGGGCTTAGAACACTGCCACCCAACACAAAGTCACCATCTTGACTGATACCTACTATCAGGTGAGTATCCTGGTGCCCCATTAACATAACATCCTGAAATGCATCAGTGCTTACCTACAGGGCAGGTCACAGGAGATCTGTTGGAAACTTTCCCTTTGTAGAGTAGCCTGCTAGTCTACCTTGAAAGGAGTTATCGCCACACACTGGGGTTTAGTTTTAAAACTATAGATATTTATTTAGAAGAGCTAAACACATTTATAGGAATGGAAATAATAGCATCTCCCAAATGGAAGTCCCAAGGGACTTGTGTAACAAGGACTTTTCTGTCAAATCCAGGTCTCTTCTCTCTCTCTGTCTGTCTTTCTGTCTCTTTGTGTATGTGTGCCTGATATCATTTATCTATCTATCTATCTATCTATCTATCTATCTATCTATCTATCATCTATCTATCCATCCACTCATCTTAATTATTACACTGAACCTGAAATGTTCCCACAGGCTCATGTTTCAAGTGTTTGGTTGCAGTGTGTGGTACCATTTAGAAGTCTTCAGGACCCTACCTGATGAAAGCTGGTTACTAGTGTTAGCCCTTTGAAGGTTGTAGCTGGTTCTGGTCCATACCATGTAATTAAGTTGTTGCCTCCTGCTCCAGTGGACATCTAAGGAGATGTTCCTCCCTGCCTTTCCCACCATAATGGACTGAGACTGCCTGAAACCATGAGCCAAAAATATATTCCTTCTTCATTAACTTGCTTCTTTCTGTCAGGTGTTTTGTCATAGTGTTTTTGACAGTAAAGTAACAGATAGCCATCATTCTATTTGCTCTGTCTCCTGTCTTGCCGTCCTATCAGATCTTACTCCAGGTTGCTGCATGCCTGCAGTGCTTTGTGGTATTTATTTATATTAACATTGTGCAATTATGGTGATGAGTGACAAAAGACTCAAAGTCTCGTTTCACTGCTATTTCTGGCCCCTGATACAGGCTCTGTGATTTCTGGGAAAAGCATCAGTTGGGTGGAGTGTGACAAGAGAATAAATTATCTGCCTGTTTTGATCCTAGCCAAAACCTTCTACCACGTGATCCAAAATTAGCCACGTGAGCTTATGTCTTGCTGTCACCTTTATATGTAAAAGAGATCATCAAAAAAAAACCACCAAGGCAAATCTAGTCAACAGAGTAAGCATTTTCTATGAAGCTGCAAAGGGCGATGCTCTGTTATTACTCTATAATCACTCTAGAAAACAGAATAAGGGATGGCACCATGGATTTTAAATAGACTCTAAAATTTTAACAATTTTAACTATGCTTACTATAAATAGAAGAAGTCACCATGTTGATGTTCTACTGACATTACTAGGCTTCATTTCCTATGCCTAAAATATATATTATTTATTTTAAATTGTGTGTGTGTGTGTGAGTGTATCTGTGTGTATGTGTGTGTGTGCTTGAATACTGGTGCCTGCAGAGATCAAAGGCATCAGCACACTGAGATCTCCTCTTGCAGAGGACTTGGGTTTAGTTACTAGTACCCATACAGTGACTCACAACTATCTGAAAGTACAGTTCCAGGGGATCTGACTTTGATGCCCTCTTCTGACCTCTACAGGCATGCAAAGTGTACATATATTCAGGCAAATCACCCATACATATAAAAATAAAAATTGATAAGCCTATAAAATAAGAATGAGGAAGAGAAGGAAGAAGAGGAGGAGGAAGAAAAAGGAGAAGAGTGAGAGGAAGAAGAAAAGGAGACAAAGGAGAAGATGATGATGATAATGGAGGAGGAGAAGGAGGAAGAAAAGTAGAAGGAGGAAAAGGAAGAGGAGAAGAAGAAGGAGGAAGAGGAGGAGAAGGAGGGGGAGGAGGAGGAGAAAGAGGAGAAGGAAAAGGAGAAGGAGAAGAAGGAGAAGAAGCAGCTGCCAGCTGGGTTGGGGTAAAGCATCTGTTTATACATTACAGGGTGGAATCTGATGTGAGCTCAGATGTGCACAGTAGGTTGATGCATGGGTTTTTTTATTGCCGAGGAATACCAGAAACAATGTCAGGGGAAAGGTTGATTCTGGATCATAGTCTTCAAGGGTTTCAGCCCACGATTATGTAGTACTATTGACTTTGGGTCTGTGTCTAGTAAGGGCATCATGGTGAGGTGGAAGAAACAGCTCACCTCTGGATGATCCAGTAAAAGAAAATGGGAAAATGAGGGCAAGCCAAAGACCCCAGATGCCTTCAAGGGTGTGCCCTGTTGACCCAATGTTCTCCCACCAGGCCCTACCTCCTAATGGTGCTATAGGCCAATGACTAAGCTTTCAACATATGGTCTTTGAGGGCCATTTGAGATTCAAGTAACAACAGACATTTTCCACCTTATAGCAGCTACCTTCTATGAGAGGTCACAGTAGAATTCTGCAGTGTTACAGTTGTCTTAATTTTGAGATAATGTGAGTTTGATTCTCATTTTACATCTGCAGCTGCTTTTGCTGCAGAGCCACTGGTGTCTCCACTGACTTGATGACATGGTGGTTTCGTGACTATAAAAAACTAGTGCTGTAATTTTGTTTTTAAAATGAAGAGTGTTCCACTCACAGGGAAAGTCTGAATTTCAAATTCAAAGGTCTCCTTCTCCCTAAGCCAAAAGTATAAAAATATACCAGGCTGGCATAAGACAATCATATCTGGAAAGGATAAAAAGAGAGCTTCTGGAGCAGACAAGTGCCCCGGCTCTAGTGGTATAGCCTGTAACTAAGAAGAAAGCTGAGAATGGCCACTGCTCTGGAACCAGGACTCCTGTATCAAAGCTTCTGCCTGCTGTGCAAACTGATGACATGACCGCTTCATGGTGCAATTTAGGGGAAAGTTTTTATTGTAGATATGAGAGAGAGAACAACCAAAGGCATCTGGATTGTTTCAGAGCAGAGAGAAAGAAGTAGACAGAGCATGACCAGGAGAATTGATGTGGCCAGGACTATCTTCAAGAAAGGAGAGGATAGCAGGGGGTAAAGAATAGAGAAAACATAGTGAGAAAAGTAGGAACAGAGCAGAGGGAAGGAGAGGGAAAGGGAGAGAGAGTCTAGTGAGAATAGCAGAGTTATAGGGAGAATGAGTAGCTAAGGAGAGGGAAGCTATTGACATAGGGGAAGTTTAGTGTAGGGGAGGAGGTTAGAAAGGCTAGGATGCCTGTATAGACTGAAATGAGTAACAGTGTAACAGATACTTGTGATGCAGAGGGAGTCTGCAGCCAGCATGTGCTTTGATATGCTGATAGGCACCACAGGTAGTCATATGTCTCTTATGCCAGAGGTAATGGAAATGACTCCTTTTGGCACATAGGAACCAGATTTACAAGTTCCTGAGGAATGCTGACTTTTATCTAGCTGCCAGAAACCCTCCTATAGTCCCGGGGTTGAGTCCATTTCTGTATATATGGACTGCCTTTTGGAGTTTGGGGAACTAGACTTTCCTTTGGACTTGACAGATGTCACATGAAACAACACAGCTTCAGAATACACTCATTTTCTTCTGGTGATATAAAGGAGTCTTGGTTGCAAACTGATGCTTATAGCCAGGCAGGCCTGGAGGTGCATGCCTGCATTCATAGCACTTAGGTATTGTGAGGATCAGGAATTCAAGATCAGCCTTAGGGAGCAATTTAAGGAGAATCTATGATATTGGAGACTCTTGTCTCAAGGAAACAAAACAAAACACGCAAATTCTCAAACAAGGTGATGTTTGTCATCAGGCTTCTTCCAGGAACAGCAGGGGGTCTCCACTAAGAGTGTTATCTTTGAGAAGGGAGAGCAGTTGTCATAACTGCTGTTTTATTTTCCCAACAGAACACAGGGCTATTGTTCTGTTGGTAGAGGGGCCTCTGGGATGCTGCCCAGATAACAAGGGCATTTTGATGTCCTAATTTATGGCAGACTAAGAGATATAGCATAAACAGAAAAAGCCATATTTAAATGTGAAAATCGACAAATCTTGGAAGAGTGTGTGGAATGTTTTTATGGCACTTTATCATGAGTTGAAAGGGAGAGTGAAATTTTATGAAGTGTTAGAGTCTGTTCTTTCTAGCATCTTAAATGTGAGATAAGCTATGTGCAATGACAAAGTAGAGTCTAGGCCAAGTTCATGATCAGGAGTGCTTAGCTGCTTTAAGCTTGAGAGGAGGCCTGGAGAGCAAGATCTCTAACCCTACCCCACCTTTCAGGTAAGAAGAAGCTAGAGGAAGCTAAAGACTGTTTATATTTTTAAATTTTGTGTGTACATATGTGTATGCACATGAGTGTGTGTATGTGTGCAAATGTGGAGACCAGAGTGCTGGGTATTTTCTTTGAATGTTCCATATTTTTGGTGGGGGAGGGAAAGAGCGGCGGGATCTTACACTGAACCTGGAACTTCCTGTTTTGGTTAGACTGGTTGAGCAGCAAGCCAGGGATCCTTCCATGTGTGCCTCCTAGGGCCAGCATGACAGGTGGGCACTCTTACCCACTGAACCATCTTCTGAGCCCCTAACACAGTGGTCTTCAACCTTCCTAATACTGCACCCCTTTAATATGGTTCCTCATGCTGTGGTGACTCCTCAACCATAAAATTATTTCATCACTACGTTATAACTGTAATTTTGCTACTTTTATGAATCATAATGTAAAAATAGTATAAAATATACAAGATATGTGATATTGACCCCTGTTGGGGGTCATGCCCACAGGTTGAGAACTACTGCTCTAAGGCATGTTATTAAAAACATAAATCTTAGTTTAAGAGAGGCACCCTGTTTGTTAGATGCTTAATTCATTGTACCTAGGGACCTTGTGATAGAATCTGAAGGCATGTAGCTTCCCAGTGCCCATATAGGAGGGTACTGAGTGGGTTCTCAGGGACTACTAGACCCACCTCTAGGTAACCAAGTCTCATTTAATCTTCAGGAAAGAAGCACCACAGAAGATAACTCTCAGGACATGAAGTCAAGTCCAAGCCAAAGCAACCTGAACATGGAGGTTCTGGTTAAGCTGGTAAGCCACCTATTACCAACTAGGATCTTGTCAGTATTGTTGCTGACATGGAAAAGTCATTTATTTACCCTGGTTAGTTCTTTGTTTTCCTCGGAAACATCCCTTAATGAAAGGAACAACTCACCAACTATGTAAATGTATTGAAGGAAAATCCAGTTGGTAGAATTTTTTTTTTCCTGGTAACAATGACATGGACTCAAACGAAGTTGATTTAAATGATGAAGACGGGGAGAAACGCAATATGGACGTGACTCCATGATTTTCCATGACAGGTCATCATTTAAAGAAATGATACATGGTCATGAGGTTGGCAGGTTTTTAAAAATGTCTTTTCACATAGGTTAATACTGACCACCCCGTCTCTTCCTTCCTATCTAGTTTCTCCCCTCCCTCCCCTCTCCCCCAGACCCGCTTCTCCTCCATTTTCCTTCAGAAAAGGGCAGACCTCCCAGAGATATCAACCAAACATGGCATATGAAGTTGCAATAAGACTAGGCCAGGCTGTGGTGACAAGGGGTGGAGGGGCTATTGGGGGAAACCTGGGCTCTGAGGAGTGTGGCTGACAGCTGGGAGAGTTTTACTTGAGGTTCTGTGTACCATAGTTGTTGGCCAGGAGATGAGGGAAGGGGATACTGTTGGGGGAAAGCTGAGTGGGGGTGAAAACATGTGCATTTCTGTGGGCAGGATCTTACCTGAGATTCTAGATACTGGTGTGGCTTCTGGTAGAGCAGGGCGCTTCTATTTGAGTTGTGGGCCAGGATCGGTTTACAGTTTTTAATTGGCCCACCCACTTACAGTCTAACTTCGAAAGCTAACTGTAGTCAATATATGTGATGTACTCTGCCTTGAGTTGAAACTTTTAGGATGGGATGCCACATATGCAGAGAATGCCCCAGCTACTGAAATGCACAACATACATGTACAATTTTGGAATATTCAACATAGCTTCACATTTATTTACCTTTCTTTTCCAAAGACTCCAAAGTTGATGATCCACAGTTTTACATATGAACACCCAAGTGAGAAAAACTAAGTGACTTACCTAAGGATAGATTCTCAGAGAGAGAAGAATGTGAGTTCTGCAGCCTGCAGCTCAGAGAGATTTTTACAGCCCCATCACACCTAGGCTGGGTCCAGGGCCCACCTTGGGCTTAGGACATGGTTTTTTACTCTCCAAACAAAGGATCACTAGGAACCAGCATGGAAGACCATCGCAAGTGATGGTAGCAACTGCCACAGCCTTTTGAGTGCTAGGATTACTTTTTTAAAACTATTTTTAGTCATGGAAGGACTTGAGTCTAGAGTCATCCTACACAGGTGACCGACCAACTGTTGGGTTGTATCTCCAGCTCTGGGTTTTTTGAGACAGGGTTTTGCTATGTGGGCCAGGGTACCTTTTAATTTATAAGCCTTTTGCTTCATTCAACCTCTCAAATGCTGGGATAACAGGGATGTGGACCCATGTCCTGCCTAGAATTCTTTTTTTTTTTTTAAATTACTTTTATTACAGTCCAGTCATTGCCCTCTTTCCAGTCTGTCCTCCCACAGTTCCTCATCCCATTCTGCTTCTCCCCTGTCTTCAAGAGTATGTTCCTTCTCCTCTCCCCCCTCCTCATCCACACCCCACCCTGCCAGGCCTCCCCACTCACTGGAGTCTCAAGTCTCTCGAGGATTAGGTATGTCTTCTTCCACTGAGGCTTCTACTGTACATGTGTCGGGGGCCTCATATCAGCTAGTATATACTGCCTGATTGGTGGCCCAGTGTCTGAGAGATCTCAGGGGTCTGGGTTAGTTGAGACTACTGGTCTTCCTATGGGACCAAACTCCTCCTTAGTTTGTCCTATCTATGCAGAAGAAAATGCTGTTTGGTTAACAGAGTAAGCAGAAAATCACTTCTGGGATAGAAAGGTGGGAGCTGAATGAATGCCCCTGCAATTCCCACAGGAAGGGAGGTTTTACAGGAGGTAGTCTCCTCATCCTCTCTGATGTCAACATCTTTGGCTATCTGGGTGGAGGGAGGTAATACACTAGTGCACATTCAGTGGGTAGTTCATATAGTTTCTTATGCTATCCCAGTGGACAAGGGAGAGGTAGAATAGAAGACACTCATAGCATATGTGCGTGTGGGGAGGGCACTACCAGATGTCTGTCTCAGTTCAGTAAACTTCAAGGTAGCTTCATCCAGATCGATACTGTTGCCATCATCCCTTAAGACAATCCTTTTTATGGGTCTTTTCTCTTCCACCTCCTTAGACATCTTGCTCCTTGCTGAATTCCTCAGTCATTAAATTTCTTGTGAATTCCTGATGTTTTTGCAGGAGAGAACGCTCCAGATGAACTCGGTAGAGAAACGAATCCGAGTTGTGAGGGAGCTTGTACAGAGCGAGAGACGGTATGTGCAGATGCTGGAAATCGTGAGGGATGTATACGCCAGGCCCCTGAGGGCAGCACTCTCCTCAAACAGAGCCATCCTGAGTGCTGCCAATATACACATCATTTTTTCTGACACTCTGTGCATCTTAAATCTCAACAGGTAAGCCCTAAAGAGGAATTCTTTAAAAAATAGTACTCCCCCAAATGAAGGGAAGAACATAGTTAGTTTCAAAAGCCCCATTGTGGCCCAGCCATTCTCTATCTTCTTGGGGATCCCATTATCTGGAAGAGCAGAGAGGCTGCTTTGCATGTCCCCTGACAGCCACAACCAGCTTCCAGCTTCCATCCAGCCCTAGGTTCCAATATGTGAAAGAAAAATAATCCAATCCCTAAGCATTCTGAACTCAATAAACTGCTCACAGGAAAGTCCATGGGAAAGAGTCAATAATGCCTAATTGAATGGGCCAGGAACAAAAGGATTCAATGGTTACTCTGCATTTCCATTGTGGGTTTCCTACATCTGTTGAGGGATTGAGAAAAACAACAGTTTCTACCTATTGTAGTGTGAAGTGAGCCAAGTGCTGGTCATACTCAATTTCCACAGATCTGGAGAGATAGTTTGTCACCTCCTGGGCCCAGCTCTGACTCTGATAAGCTGATGAAACATCTTTCAGTTTTCATGACCTGGAATAGCTGAACAGGTCACCTTGGATCTGTTGAGTATGCAGGCTGTTTGTAAGATATGATTCTTGGCCTTGAAGCTTCTGAAGCTGACATTCTCCTCAGAGGACTATGAGAATGTCCATGGCCCTGGCTCTGAGGGTGGGACCATCAGAAGTGGTTCTGTTGTGGGAAGTTGGATTCTGACCCAAGGAATTAAAGTAAAAAGTGAGATCCTAGGCAGCCAACCTCATCCCTCACTGCCCAACACCCCCATCCTGTCAAATCTACAATGCTCTGTGGTCAAGCACTCAACTGATCAAAATAAAGTCCTGCCACAAAAGACTAAGCAGAAAAGCCTACACTAATGAATTATGGCTTAAGTTTGGGAGACTCTCACAAGCTCCTATTTCAAGATACAATCTTCTTATATTGTAGAGAGTTTCTAGATAACCTAACAGACAGACTACAAGAATGGAGCCCAGCCCACTGTGTGGGAGAAATATTCATAAAATTTGGAAGCCAGTTGAACATATACACCAATTTCTTCAACAATTATCCAGTTGTTCTGAAAACCATTGAGAAGGTAAGTGGTTGTGTGATTTCCACCCAATCCAGTATAACACAAAGGACTGAGGTAAATGGGAAGGGCCGCTTCCCAGCTGCTCCTTCTCAGGTTCCCCATTCTGCCCCCCCATACTTTGAGCTTCTAGGGAACAGGGACCTTGATATAGGGGCTAATACAGTGGTGGACACATAGCTCAGGAACTGATAGTTGAGCTGCAGCTATCCACTGCCAAATTTTCATGCACCCTAGACAAGCGACATGATAGTGTCATGTCATGTCACAGTGACAGCACACTGAAAACGTAAGTTGAAACAAGATTGTGAGCTCAGAATTCTCTGCTGCTATTATGCTGGGGCACACAAGCTCGGCTCAATGGACACCTTGACTATGACCCTTGACCTTGAGGACAAGAATTAGAGGAAAGAATGTTGTCAGAAACAAACTGGCGGCAAAAGTTTTATACTGAGGTAAATACTGAATCTTACTTCATTAATAGTGAGTGCATACAGCTATTGGATACATTTATCTATGGTAGCTATTATTATTAGCAACACCAAGAAATCTTCTTAAACCTTTTAATTGTTCACAGGTATAAATGGCTTTGTTTCTGAAATGTTCTTGGAGCATGAGATAGCAAATCCTAGATTCAAACATTAACAACGTTGACATCTTTTAAACATGTACATACTGAGTAGTAGCACATAATTTCATAGGTATATCAATGATAATGACAGAGTACATTTGAAATGGATATTAAATAGAATGGAATACTTTTGTAATATTACTCTGGAAAACATGAATGACCAAAGCATTAAAGGTGAATACCAGTGATAGGCAAACTCTTACAGAAATGACACAGGATTTATTGTAAGGTAGGCACTCTATGGGCTTGGTCTTCTACCCATTTTACAGATGAGAAAATTAGGTAACCTGACAATGTCATCTAATTTATTCTAGTTCTAATCCAACCACACCTTAATTATAATCTCTTACTACTCCTCTCCATTGATTAAGTCAATGGATATGGTTAGATCTGTGGTATAATTAAAATACTAGAGTTCATATATTAGAACACATGAATAGTATTGATACTTAAATTAGATAGAGATGTTGCCTTCTTGCTTTGACTACTCTGTAGATTGTCCCTTGCTGCTGGTAAAACACAAGGCTTTATGACTGTATCACAGAGCAAAGTTTGACAATGTATTTCTCATCTTTAGTGCAGAGAAATGACACCCGAGTTTAGAGCGTTCTTGAAGAGGCATGATAAAACCATTGTTACCAAAATGTTGAAGTGAGTTTCTGGGGAGATAACAGCTGGGCACTCAAGGACCTACAGGTAGCAATCAGGGCATCCTTCCCTCTGCCCTGTACAGTCTGCCGGAGCTGCTTCTGTACCCATCCCAGAGATTTGAAGAATATATTCACCTTCTCTATGCTCTGAGACTCCATACTCCTGCAGGACACATGGACCGTGGAGACCTGACCTCTGCAATTGATCAAATCAAAAAATATAAAGGCTACATAGATCAGGTGGGTTGGTGGTCTCATTGAGAGACTCTGAGATGCCCTCTTTGCTGTGGTACTCTTTACTTAAATCTTTCACCCTTTAAAAGATAAATCTATAGTCCTGTTTCACAATTTTGAACACGAAGGGCATCTATTCCATGCCAAACAATGTGAAGCAATGTTTTCAGATAACTATACAGTCACAGGCTCGCCCTCTCTCACCTAGTTTCAGACAGGTTTTATGTGTCCCAGATTAATTTGAACTTGATATATAGCCTAGGACCTCCTTGAATTTCTGATCCTCTTGTCTCCCTCATTTCTGGAGTGCTGGAGTTATAGATATTCACCAGTATTCCTGGGTAATGTGGTGCTTAGATTTGAAGCCAAGGTTTTTGTGTACACTAGGCACACATTCTGTCAACTAAGTCACATCCGCAGCTCGAGCTTCTCTAGCATGAAAGTATAAAATTTGGATTTGTATATATAACCAAAAGAAAAAAAAAGTAAAATCTTTTGCTTCCAAGATCCTTTTTCCCCCTTAAAAAAAAGATATCAAGGTGCTTTCCTGACTCAGTAAGTACAGCACTCATAATTATCCCCTGTGCAGGCACTGGGCTGAATATTAACGGCACATCACACCCTAAAAATGCTTTTTTTCTTAACAGCCTTGTCATTTGCCTTTATTAAAAAACTGGTCTAGAAAATTGATAATTGCTAGTGAAGTGCCAAGTCCTTTATCAGGTGCTACAAAATATTAATAAAGATGTTACGCTCTTTGCCTAATATAACTTTGTTTTCTAGATAAAGGAAAACTTCAAAATGAGAGAGCAGCTGTCCAATATACAGACGCTCATCTGGGGCTGCCCGGTACGTGCGCTGATGTTCTTGCTGCATCTAATGATCATGAGTGTAACCTTGTCACTTGTGAAAAGAGATATACAGATTCTGAGGCAGCTAAATTTTGTGGGACACCCATTACTGCCAAGAACTGCAGGCTTTCTTGTAATATATCCCTGCTGTCTGCATTATTAGAAAATGTATTGGGGTAGGCCCTAGCCCATGGTTGGGATTTTCCACGATTGTAGCTACTTCTTTGTTGTCATGACACCTTTTGATTTGGGCATCCAGTTACGTGTTCTACGTGATCTCTGTCTGACGGATAAAGTCCTTGGTGCAAGATTCAGCACACTGAAACTGTCCACAATGCTTAGAAACCCTCTCTCTCTTTGTATCTTTCTGACTCCCCTATTTCTGAAGGCTCTTACCCCATGTATCTCCCCTCCATTCTTTAATAATGTCTCCTCTTACTATCCATTCTTTGAAAATATGCTATCTTCTATGACATTGCCTTCCTTTCATACCTCACTGAGTAAGTACTATTAAACCTTGAAAAATTTGGTCAGGAGTCTCTGGAGATGTCTCAGTATGTTAAGAGCTCTTGCTCCAAAAGTGTGAGAACCTGAGTTCAAGTCTCCAGGACTCACATAAAAAATCAGGTATGGCCACAGGCAGACACCTTGAACTCCAGTGCTGTGAGGGATTCTAAGAATCTAAGGTAATTGCTGGGATTAGATGGCAGCCAGCCCGGCTCTAGGTCTACTGAAAGATCTTGTCTGAAGGGAATAATGTAGAGTGATAGAACAGGACACCTGTTGTCCTTCTTTGGCCTTCGTGTTTTACACACACACACACACACACACACACACACACACACACACACACACTGATTTTAAAATGAAGTCAATTATGATCCCTTTTGTAATGTTTTCCTGGTCTCCACCTGGGAGCTGGTTTTTCCTTGGTGTTCCCTAGCCCCATGGACAGCTCTGTCATGTGGCCTTACACCCATCCATTTACAGACTGTGAGCCCCACTGTGTCTGAGCTTTGACTTGTTTTCTGGTGTTTGACATTCAGCAGAAGCTTTGTATAGATGATGAATGAAAGTGTTAACTAGTTGGAGATACTTTTATTTGGTCCAATGGGGAATTTTGTCATGATTTCTATCTTCATGTCTTGGTAAGGAAAGTGTGGATGGTTGGACTGCAAAAGTATGGTTCTTAGAATGTACTCACAGAGCTGCATCTCCGAATCTTTGCATCTCTTCACACTCAGAAACCATCCCCATGGCCACAGCAATGTAGGGGCCTTCTTAGCCTTACTAATTCTTTTGCTTCCTTTTCTCTCTTTTTAAACAATTTATTTTAAGTGCATGTAGGACTGGGTGAGGGTGTTGGATGCCCTGTGTCTGTAGTTACAGACAGTTGTGAGCTGTCATGTGAATACTAGGAATTGAATCTGGGTTCTCTGGAAGAGCAGCCAGTTCTAACCACTGAGCAATCTTTCCAGGCCACTTCTTTTTCTTTTCGTGACAGTTCCTTTGACTGTTTTCCTAACTTTGTTTTTGACACTAGGAAAGTATATGCAAACAAATTTCAAAAGCTTTAAAAAAATTGGACAGCCTCAAAAATTGTTTTTTATTATCAATTTGGTTTGCTAAAGGTTATAAAGTAAGAAAAGGTTGATTTTTCTACAAGTGCACTAAGTTTTAGTCATTATTTCTATGCTCTGGGAAGAATAGTTCTGCACTAGTAGCATTTCAAATCCTATTTTTTATTTTATAGACTTTATCAGAAGCAAACAGATACCTGATTCGGACCCAAGATGTGGTTCAACTTCACTGCTGTGATGAGAAAATGAATTTTTCTTTAAGGTGAGCAGCTGTTATCCACACCAAAGCTGTGAGCACCTTGAAGGCAGTCAATGAACTATCTTGTTCATTGTTCACCCTTGAGATTTAGCACCATATTTGACCTTCTGTGTAACCAAGAGAACCTTTGTATTGAATCATGGTTACACGCGTGTGCCTCTAGGTCAGTGGGTCTCAACCTGTAGATGTCAACCCCCATAGGGGTAACATAACACATATTTACATTATGATTCATAACAGCAGCAAAATTAGTTTTGAAGAAGCCATGAAATACTTTTATGGTTGGGGGTCACCACAACGTGAGGAACTGTACCAAAGGGTGATAGCCTTAGGAAAACTGAGAACTATTACTCTAGATGATGTACAGTGCTTTATCATCTTGCTTGCATTCCAGATGGCTCTTTGGTGGAATGAGAGTAACAGTGTCTGCCAAGACCATAAACTTCATAGCAGACTTTCTCAAGGGTTGATCAGTTTCCTAATGAGATCAAATCCAAGTACTGTGGGAGCTCACACCAATATTCTACCTAAAGCAAGAATTTCATTTTATTATCCTTAAGTAACTGTTCAAGTTAGCACTGAAAATGACTTTACCACATCTATTTTACATAATGCTGAGATGTGTAAGAACAGATAGAAAGATGCCAAGGCCCATAAATTAGTCTTACTGTTGCTTTTTTGGTTTGTTTTTGTTTTTGTTTTATTTATTTTTTAGACAGGGTTTCTCTGTATAGCCCAGGCTGTCTTGGAACTCAGTCTATAGACCAAGCTGTCCTCGAACTCAGAAATCTGCCTGCCTCTGCCTCTTAAGTGCTGGGATTAAAGGTGTGTACCACCACTGCCCAGCTCCTGTTGCTTTTTAAGAACAAGAATGGACAAGTTTTTCTATAAGGGTTCAGGGAGCAAATACTTAGACTTGGTGGGCCAAACGAGGTCTGTGGCAATGACCTTTCCTATTGTAGCAATGCTACTCTACTCATAAACAGTACAGAAACGAACAGTTGTGGCTGCCAATAAAACTTTATTTACAAAACAAGTGATACACCATAGTGAGGTAATGAGGTAGATGGGTCACCCCTCTCACCTCCACACCCATCTTGGTAGCCCTTGAATCAACATCAAAGGCCATGAGAAGACCTGAGTTTGATCCCCACAACTGACAGTGCAAGGAGAAATCCTGGAGTTTTCTTTTGACCTCCACATGCTGTGGGCACGCCCCTCCCTTCAAAGAAGCAAATCAGTGTAAACAGAAAGTCAAATCCCAGGAGCAGAGAGGACTTAGCACATTGGGTTTTTGTTGCATTGCTTTTGGTCTGTAGCAATAGATAAGGGCTTCAGTGGAGGAAAGAAGCTGGCTTCTAACCCTACAATTCTAAACACTCAGGCACAGTAAGAGACATGCTAGCTGTTCCAGGCTGGGATTATTCAGTCTTTATATATTGCTTCTTGAACAGTCTTTATTTCTTTATGTAACTACTGGCAGTGTGTTCCCTTAATTTTGGCTTGAGAAGAAAACTTGGCTGGCAATGGAATTTTGAATTGCTGAGTGTTTCTTTCAATATTTTCACTCCATTCTCTTTTTTGCTTGGTTTTGAAGAGTAGTCTAATACAGTTTTAGCCTTGTTCCTCTAGGTTTTTGTTGTTGTTTGGAGTCAAGTTTGACTTTGAGTTTCTAATAGAATGTGTTATGCCTTAATTAGAGTTACTCTGTTTTTGGAGCTTTCAGGACCTGTAGTTAATAGTTCTGAAAAAATTCTTCAACCATTAAAACAATGTATTATATGTATGTATCTCTGTGGGGCATCTGCAAGTGAATTTGAGTATTTGGAGGCCAGAAAAGAGTGTTGGATGCCCTGGAGCAGGAATCATAGGCCAGGTTGAGCCATGATGTGGGTACTGGGAATTGAACTCAGGTCCTCTGGAAGAACAGCCAACAATCACTAAGCCATCTCTCCAGCTTCTTAATAATTTTATTTTGAGTATTTTTCCTGTTCTTTTCTCTCTTCCTTATCTGGTATTCCTATGACATGTATGCTTTGTTTGGTTTTTCAATTGCCCTTATGGTTTTAGATACTCTTTCCTCTTCAGCCTCAGTCTGTTTCTGTTTCTCAGCTGTCTTGGTTAGGGTTTCTATTGCTGTAACAAAACATGACCAAAAAGCAAGTTAGGGAGGAAAGGGTTTATTTGGCTTATACTTCACAGCACTGTTCATCATTGGAGGGAGTCAGGACAGCAACTCACACAGGGCAGGAACCTGGAGGCAGGAGCTGATGCAGAGCCATGGAGGAGTGCTGCTCACTGGCTTGCTCCCCATGGCTTGCTCAGCCCTTTTTCTTATAGAACCCAGGACCATCAGCCCAGGGATGGCACCACCCACAATGGGCTGAGCCTCCCCCACTGATCACTAACTGAGAAAATGCCTGACAGCTGGATTTCATGGAGGTGTTTCTTCAATTGAGCCTCCTTCCTCTTGACTGTAGCTTGTGTCAAGTTGATACACAAAATCAGCCAGTACATCAATTTAAGACTTTTCCACTCACATACCTTGAAACTTACAACTCCTAACTCTGCTACGGTCTCCCCATAAGCCCACCAGTGTGATTCTTTGTTAAACTTTTACTTTTACCATTTCTTTTCACTTTGTAAGAGCCTCTGTTACTCTATTTCTATTACTCCATTTTCTTCTGTTTGTCCATTTTTTTCCTATTAGATTTCCTAAAATATTAATCACAGTTAAATTCCTAATTTGAATGTTCCAAAATTTCTGCCAGGTTTGGTTCAGTGCTTGCGCACTCTCTCTCCATTCTGCCTTTTGCCTCTCAGCAAGCCTCAAAACTTAATGAAAACTCAAAAAACAAACAAATAAACAAACAAAACCAAAGCAAAGCAAAACAGTAAACACAAAAACTTTTTGGTGTGAGGTTTGATGCCCCTCTATGTAAAGTTATGCTTACTCTTTGCTCTAGTGAAAGGCTAACATTCCTGATGTTCTTGTTTGACACCACGTCCAGTCTTAAAGACTGCTAAAACAAACAAACAAACAAACAAAAAACAAAGCAAGCAACAACAACCAGCCAGCAGGGAGGTGGTGGCACAAGCCTTTAATTTCTGCACTCGGGAGCAGAGGCAGGCATTCCAAATTCTTCACATATTCTTCACATTCTTACTAGAACTTAGACTTAATTTAGTATTTATATAAGAGACGATAATACATAAGGGTTTGAAAATAAAACTAAATTATTATTATTTTTCTGAGACATGAGGTGTCTTAGTGTTTTACTGATGTGAATAGACACCAGGACCAAGGCAACTCTTATAAGGACAACTGCCATTTTAAAGTAAATTAAACCCAGGAAATGTCATTCTCATTTCTATCAAACATTTTCACTTACAGCATATCTGCCCTGCTTATATTTATGCAGTGCTATAAGACCTCAAGGCTTACTTGATAAATCCAACTACGACCACTTGGTGAGCCAGTAGGGAAAAGTGGAGAGCTCTCTGAAGCCAGGCTGTCCTGTACAGGCCATCTCTGTACTGGGAAGGCTGAGGCAGGAAGGCTAGGGTCGGCCTGGGCTATAAAGCCAGACCTCACCTTAAACACACAAAACAAATCATAAAAGGAACTTACTGTCATGGAACTAGTAGGTTCTGTCTGGAATCTACAAGGCCTCAGTGTGCAGCAACATGGTAGCAGGAACTAAGTAAGTTAGTGTTGTCCCAGGGTGAGGAAAGGTTTATGTTCTCAACGAAACAGTATTCTGGACAGAGGTGAAGTCACGGTCATTTTAAGAACCAGGAAAGTTGGTATCCTTTGTTCTACTGGGAACACAGAATAAATACAATTTTGGGTATGCTGGGCTGTTTTGAGATTGGTGTATAACCCTGGTTAGCCTGGAACTCCCTAGGTAGACCATGATGCCTGGAACTCAGAACTATCTACCTTTGTCTCCCAAGTGCTAGGATTAAAGGTATGAACCACCACGAACTATGTTAAGTTTTTGTTATATACCTTAGAACTTTTGCACTATTTTCTCAGAAGTAGCAGTTTTTGTGCTAAGTTTTTGATATTTATTATTTATCTATTTATTTATTTACCAGAGAAAAACTCACATGCCAGGCTAGCCTCAAATTTACCTGATGCTGAGACTGCCTTAAACTCCTGATCTTCCTGCCTTGACCTCCTAAATGCTGAGATTTACAGGTGTGAATCACATGTCTAGCTAAGTTCGTTAATTTTTAAGCTTATTTTTTCTTTGTCATCTTGTGAACAGTTCAAAAGCAGAGTTCTGTAGTACTGGCAGGTAGAAGTTGACCTTAACCAGTAAAAGATGCTACTCAGTTCCCAGACCTCAAGGAAGGCTCCACTCTGTACTAAAAAGGATATGTTCCTCTTGGCCTTCCCCCAAAAGTCATACTGTCATTTAACAGGATAACTCTGCATGGAGGAAAGGATCTACTAAGCCTTCTCAGGGGTACTGGCATCTGGTTAGGAACTGACTCTTACTCTAGGGACTGTAAAGTCCTTGTGATAGAGCTCTTAGTGCTTGTGGAGACTGGACTTGAGTCTGCTCACAGGAGAGCACATGGCCTGCAGCTGCATGTTTATTTCAAAGTGTAGATCCAGGATTTTTGAGTTGTATGTGTTCATAGAAGATGCTTCCCTGTTTGTTGGGCTAGCTAATGCAGCAAGCAACAGTGAGAATGTCCTGAACCAGTTATGAACTTACAATATAGCAGCTTTGCCCTGTTCTGCTGAGTTATTATTTGCATGCAAACAAAATCTACCACATAATATTGGGGAAAAAAAATAAACCCCTCACCTTAGAGTTGGTTCTCAGTGGAGTACAGATCATTCACTGTCACTATTGTGGGTATTTTTTAAGGAAAAGCTGAACATTCACTACTGAAGCAAGCAAGTTTCAATGACGTTGCTTCATAGTACCCTGTAAGCTTAGTTCCTGTTATGAAACAATTATTATTTATTTCACATTTTAACATGTAAAAATTTTAAACATGTTTTCTAAACTTAGATACAGAAAAACATTAATTGTTCTCTATCAGTTATGTTGCAAAACCTTTCCCATCCTCTGGGAAACATAGTAGAACTCTTTACCCAGAGAAAGTGGCCTTTTCCCATAACCAGTTGATCATCTACCCTTTCTGGCTTCCCTTTCCCTTCCTTCTGAGTTCTGCTTCATCATTTTCAGAGTAACTCATCAACTTTTCTTCCCTCCCTCCCTCCCCCTCCCTCCCTTCCACAAAGTGTAAGTAAATATGAAGCAACCCACTCACATCAGCATAAGTCATAACCAGATTCACGGGAATGTTTACATGCAAGAGCTGACTCTAGTGGTTGATGACCACTATGTTTCTATTTACCTGCACACCTAAAGCAAAAGTCTGAGAACCAACATTTGGAGTCCTATGCACACCACATTTGGCTCTTCACCTAGAGCTGACCATTTTTTAGCAACTTCAATGAAAACAAAGAACTATTAACTTTCCGTGTGGATAAAGCTATCAAGCCACCTCCCTTCCAATTTCTCTCACATGGAATTGTAAATTCATTTCCAACTGGTAAATACTTCCTTCCCCAGGTTTCTACTTAAGGATGCCTCTGGCCATACCAGTATTTCCCAACCTGTTGCCCCTAGGTGAAACAAAGAAAAACTGTACTGTTCTCTGGTCTCTCAAAAACATCTAGCAACAAAACACCAAGCCTAATAAGTTATAAAAATATACTTGTGAGAAACGTATTTAATAAAGGAAAGAGCATTCAATGTTCAAGAACAGTTGGATTTATTCTTTTATGTATGCTTTGCCTGTGTAATGTATACCATGTGTGTGTTTGGTGCCCAAAGAGGTCAGAAGAAGGCATTGGGTCCCTTAGGATTAGAGTTACAACAGGTGTTAACCACCATTTGGGTGCTTGGAATCGAACCCTAGTCCTCTGCTACAACAATAAGGGCTCTTAATCTAAGCCACCTTTCCAGCCCTCAATGTTCATGTTTTACACATTACTGAATACTTGTCTAATGGATGAGATCAAATAACTATATCAGATTCCTTGATGGTCTGAGAAATGCAAGATCACTTTACCAAGGATTCCATAAACTACACAAAAGGTCTATAGTGGAATAGGGTCTTAATCATAGGCATATCAATTTAAAGATGGTTAACTGTTTGACAATGTGCATATCCATGAAAACAGCTCACCTCTCCACTCTAACAGGCTCTACAAACAGACTCAAGATCTCAGCCTCTTCCTCTTCAATGATGTACTTCTTGTCACCAGTCGGAGCACATCTCATACTCCATTTGAAAAGTCTTTTAAAACAACCTACCAGTTCACCGCATCAGTGGCCCTTTCCAGGATGCTCATAGAAGACATTCCAGACTCCAAATGCATGTATTTTCTTTCATGAGAAAAGCTATCTTATACCAAATTCCTTAACTATAAAAATATCTAAGTAGGGGAAAGGCCAGAACAATTTGCCAGTTTGTAAATAATTCTCAATACTAGGATTTCATTAACTTGCCTCTGAAGAAACAAAGTTGACACACACATCCGACAATGGAAAAGCAGCCTTTAGTCAGAGGTAGGCAAGGGTTACATCATCCTGAGGGGTTCCATCAGACTGTCTGAAGATGCTACAGGCTTAAGACACTATTTCAGGTATCCATCCATCCATCCATCCATCCATCCATCCATCCATCCATCCATCCATATATATTACTAGCAGTATTGGAGATTGAATTTATAGCTTCATACACACTGAGCTACATACAGTCCCAGGCCTTTTATGTATCAATTTTCTATTCTACTAGGATTAGTTATTCCAGTCTTGATTGTCCTTTTCTTCTTTAAATTGGCATTTAGTTCCTCTATAAAAGAGCCAGCATTTGAAAAGTGTTTAGTAACTAAACATTCATTTACAACCTCAATAATGTCATAAAAGAACTCAACTCATACCTGTGGTGCTTATTCATAACATTCCATACTGTAACTTCTCCATTTCTCAAGCTTAACTGTTTCTGTCTCTTTCCTGCATTTGTTAGGACAGGTAACTGGGAGGTAACATTTCCCATTGCAATGCCTCTGCCTGTGTGTAGACAGTACCTTAGCTTAAATCAGAACCAACAACTTATTTGTTTTTTTGTCTCCTGAGTCTCACTCCTAGGATGGTATGCATCTCATCTTCAACTACTGAGGATGGCTAGTATAGGAAATGTGTTGCTTTTCTTGTTTTCTCTCTCACTGCAATCGTTAGCTGTGTTTACAAGGGCATTCAGCTAAGACTACAGTTGGCTGGGTCATTCATACCAAGGTGACCCAGGTCAAGTGCCCAGCCTCTCTACAGCCACCAAGAAGATTTTTATTAATTCCAGTTCTTTCTAGAGGGAATGAAACAAGGAACTAAGGGGCTTCACATTATCTATCATCTGCCTTTAAAATATTTGACAAATAATTAAATTTTTTTTTGTTTAGAAGATAAGCTTCAAATGATGATTGCATTTGTGATTATGTTAAGTAGGAAGCCAAATAATATTAAATGATACACAGTCAAATTGTAAGAAGTGTACAGGATGATTTACAGGTAAAGGCTACATTGAAGTCATCTAATTATTTTCAGGTAGAGTTCTGCTTTCTTATGATACCATGTTAATGTACTCCAAGAGGTAAGATGCTAGATACTAAAGACATCATTTTCCAAATAAAACTCTGAAGCTGAATCAATCCTTCAAAAACAAAGAAAAGAAAAGAAACTTCTAGACTATATACTTATTTTGAATTTTTGATGGGAGGTTTTTAAAAAAATTCTAAGATTAGCTAGTTAAATTTGAATTTAAAAAATTTTGATTGTCTGTGAAGATTAAACATTAGTGTAGCTCCAATGGAATACTGGTCATACTTTTAACAGCAGAAAAAGATAATCTATCTCAAACATTTTCACAGATATCAAGAATGCATTTATTCTTCGATGTTCAGAATGGGAATGGATCTGTGCTACTGAGATGTCAGATGATAAATTCCTTTGGTTGTCAGTACTCCAACATGCGATCAGAAGCAGTATCAAGTAAGAGGACTAGATTCAAATGATAAGAGTGTCCTTGGAAAGTCAGATAATGTATCTACCTTTTCTGCTTCAGAGCATCTAGTGAGAAGCACAGAGATGCTCACAGATGATGAGGAGATGCAAGAGCTAGGATGACCTGTGAGGTCCCTTCCGACTTTTTTTTTTTTTTTTCCCGAGACAGGGTTTCTCTTGTAGCCCTGGCTGTCCTGGAACTCACTCTGTAGACCAGGCTGGCCTTGAACTCAGAAATCCACCTGCCTCTGCCTCTCAAGTGCTGGGATTAAAGGCGTGCACCACCACTGCCAGGTCCTTGCGACTTTTATAATGTATGACTAATCAATGTAGAAAAATCAATGTATAAAAACAGTAAGTCTAAAATTTTGAACCACAACTTTTGGTAACTATCCTCATGGGCATTATTTAAGACAATTAGATATGATTAGTAACAAGAAAAAACATACTGTCTAGGATTTTAACAAATGAGTAATAACCAGAATAAAGTATTTCTTTCATGAGCATTGTTAAAAAAAAATACTTGAATTTTCGATGTACTAATCAGCATTTTCACGAAGCAATTACTGATTTTAAGGATATGTCTATAAAATATAAATGGCAATTTTCTCACGCACTTGTCAAGCAGACCCTTCATGTGAACGTACTCCTTAGAAAGCATTAGAATATGCCATGTCAAAGTATTAACAAGTTTTCTGGATTTTGGTTTCTATAATTCTTAAGTACTTTTTGCTTTAAGACAAAATTCTTAGGTCTTCTAAATAACCTTAAAATATTTTTTTAAAACCACTAAATTAAAAGGCCAGTGGTAGAAGAATAAAATTTTTTAACATCAAACATTAATGAATGGGACTGGAGATAGAACTCCTGGGTTAGAGCACTGGCTGTTCTTAACCAACAAAGACCCAGATTCAATTCCAAAAACCCACATGACAGATTACAACCTGGACTCCAGTCCCAGGAGAACTGGAATTCTCTTTTCGCTAATGTAGTACACAGAGATACATACAGGCAAAACACCCATACACATACAAATTAAATCTGTAAAAATTAATGGAAATCATTGTACTTCATATTCAGGGACTAGAAACTCCTGAAACGGAATGGACCTGAATGCCTCCTCCATAAGGACTAGCTTTCACAGTACCACAAAGTTCCACAAAAGCTTCCAAAGGACGGAAGCAATCTACAGTCCTACCTAGCTATAATGTCTATGAAACACAGTAAGCAGCGTGGCACACGATAGGCCTAAGAATGCAGCAGCACCATGTGTACCTCGACAGTAAACAATAGCCTCCTAATTAGACTAATACCATCACACATACACCTTGGAGACTTTGGAGAAGATTCTACAACTATCACTTTACTAAACCAGCATAATCCCTAACTATAATCTAAATATTTGTGCTTATATTCACAGGTAAGTGTGGTCCTTATTCCTCAACAACGAACCCTTTGCAACAAATGGACTCAGTGCCGAAAAACACAACTAATCAAAAAGTGGAGCCCAGTTCCAATGGATTCATCTACAAAACAATCCCAGAACCTAAGGCTAAGGGAACATTTTGGGGGATGGGGGTTGTAACAGCCAAAGGACCCGGGCATCTTCTGTGAGAATGTGTCTCCTGTAATGTCAGAAGCTACAGCTGTAAAGTCTCACCAACATGACTACCTAAACATGAGCTAATCGATGATAGTTACAATAGAACTCCTAGTCAATCCTAGACAAAGAATGACAACCAGGGAGTGCTGAGTGTCGGAGAAATAGACTTCCGAAGGGAAGAGCACACTAACTGCTTATCCAATGCCAAATGGTCAGCCCTGAAAATATGTACACAAATAACATCTACAGAGTGAGCAGGCTGTATTTATGTATTTAGGAATTTGACTGTAATATATATATATATATAAAAATTGTTATATATAACAATAATTAATGAATTTGAAAGAGTGCAAGAAGGTGGGGTAGAAGGAAAGGGAAGAAGGAAATGATATAATTATATCATAATCTCAAAAACTAAAAGAAGTACCTGGGCTTAGTCGTGTACGCTTTTAATCCCAGAACTCTGGAAGCAGAGGCATGAAGATCTCTGTGAGTTTGATGCAGTCTGGTTTATATAGAATTCCAGGACAGCAATGAATCAATGAATACAGAGACCCTGTCTCAAAAATAAATCATCAAGTAAACTAAAAACAAAAAACAACCCCCCCAAAACCAGAAATCTAGCAAAAAAAAAATGTGCCTGTAATGAAATTTAGCTGAGTAAAAATGAATTTTTTTGTATAGTTAAGTGACTGTTGAAAGCTACAATGTATTAATTAGGATCAGGTTGTTGGCCTCCTTTTTGTTTCATAATCTGTTATGGTTATTAAATCCATTGGTACAGTGGAGGGTTGTAAACTCAAAACACTTTTAAGTACACTTGAATACTGAAGATATTTCTAATTCTTAAAAGTTTAAGTCCTGGCTAAAATATATAGAAATTAAATATTGTATTTTCTTATCAATGCAAAACTTACAGTTCTGATCCTGTTATAATGAATCTGTGAAAGTTTAAGATTTTTAAAATAACCATTAAGAGGAACATCTGTTTGTTAGTTAGCAATGAATGCAAATTAATAAATATTACCTAAATGTATCTATCATATGCTATAAAACAAATCCAAAGACAGGAAAGTATCCTGACAGGGGAGAACACACCCCTGAGATTTTTAGTATCACAACCTACCTATATGGAAAAGAGTAAATGACAGTATAGTTAATGGCAACATGAAAATCTGAAATAATCAGTTCTCATGTGGCCTGAAACCCTCAGAAGTTTAAAAATCTTTACTTGAAAATGCTATCTGTGAAGATTTAGTGTTTGCTTGCACCAGTGTATCTACAAGTCAGAGGACAGTCCTGGGTATCAATCCTCAGGCTTCTTCTACATTATCATTATTATCATTATTATTATTATTATTTTAAATAAAGACTGGGTAGGTCTTTCGCTGGCCAGAGCCACCCAGTGCTGGGATTGCAAGCATACCAACATGCCTGGCTTTAAAAACCACAAAAAAACCAATTTGGGGTTTCTGAATTAAACTGAGATCCTCTTTCTTGCAAGACAAGCATTCACCCAGTGAATTCACCAAGTGGGCCCCCAACCAGAGGAAGACTCAAGAGTAGAGTTAACACTTCAGTCATGCAAAAGTAGTAATGTTTTCCAATTGTTCTTTTCACTCCTTATATAATGTTTTTATCCTTTTCCGTCACCTTGAGTGACAAGGAAGAAAGATCTATCTTCATAATTCATAAACTTATACCATTCCTGATGAATTCTTACGAAAACACACAGAAAAATCCTGTCACTGGTGAAATAGGTCAAGAAAAGCATAAACCCTAACCCTGAGCTGTCATGTGAAGCAGTTTCCTAGTACTTCATGATTCCTGAGAATGGCAACTAAGGCTCTGAGGAAGAGGGGAAGCAGCTTCTGAGAAAATCTATCAGGCTCCCAAACCAAACCAAACACTGAGTAGGGCGCTCATCTTAAAACTTTATAGAGTATAGACGCTGTCTATATTGGCAGTTTGCTATAATTTTCCTTTCACATTCCCTTTCACAAAGATTTCTGAGTTGTGCTTGATGAGAAGCCCAGTCTGTAAATGCAGCCATAGCGTGCTTTAGTCACATAAATATCAGGGCCAGCATTACTGCTGTCTGATGTTACAGCACAGGGAGGGTGAGGCATGCCAACAAACACAATGTATTCTCCAGAGAAAGTCCTCCTCACCCTTTTATTGAAATTAAAAAATAAAAGATACTTAAATACAATGGTGAACATATAGGGTAAAACAAATCATAAAATTTAATGTTGAATTAAGCAGTGAGCTGAATGTTTGGGTTTCCAAATAGGCTCTAAACCCAAAACTGCTTAAGAATGGGCATGTTCACAGTTAACGGCAATTGCTTAGAGGTGAGAAAATGGTCGGAGCTGTTCCAGTTGAACTTCCAGGGAAATTCTCTCCTCAAGAACATCCTGAAAAAGATGCAGAGTCCAAGTTACATTTCAAGTAGACAGAGGTCCAACACTAGTTCTGCTTCATAATAACAACTGTATTTGTCAAGAGAAAGAAATGATTTGTATTTAAAACATATATTTCACTTTAGAAAGGCAATTTGCATATTCATAATAGAAAAGCATGATCTTACTAATTCAAAGTCACTTCTGATGACATAACTAGGTAATAAAATGCTTTTAAGTGAATTGTTAGAAAAGCTAGTAATTGTAGTGGATGGGTATTATAGTGCACAAATTTTGAATAAAGGCTTAATTAAATGTACATGAATTTGCTAACATGAATTCTTTCCTCTGATGATGGGATCTGATCCCAAGATGTCATTGTGAATTTCAGTTCTATAAAAAAAAGATTTATTTTACATTCGGGATAATTTATAATAATAATACTAAGTAGTAGTAGTAGTAATAGTAGCAGAAGCGAGAGACTGACTGTATATTTGTATGTATATATGTGTGTATGTGTGCATGCTCCCGTATGTATGTGGAGGCTGGAGAACAACTTTGAGAAGTTAGCTCTCTCCTTCCACCATGGGGTTGGCAGGGATAGACACAGGTGGTCAGGCTTACAAGGCCAGGACTTTCACTGGCTAACCCATCTCCCTGACACTACTTTCATTTAAGGTTTGTCTTGTTTGTTTCACGCATAAGATGATTTAAATGTTCTCACTCTTTGTCTTAATTAGACTGGTTTAAGTTCTTATTACTGAATCTGAGTTAATCAAAGGATAAACTACCTACATTCTACATGGAGCACAGAGCCATATATACTCGTGGATTCTCAGTCCACTTTTTTCTCAAAGTTTCTTCATGGAAGTTAGCAATGTTACAGGACTAGCGATACACACACACGCACACACACGAGAGAGAGAGAGAGAGAGAGAGAGAGAGAGAGAGAGAAAGAGAGAGAAGACACTGTGCACACAACTAGAA